CACCGCGGGCGCCGAGTCCGGGAAAGGTTACGCCGAGAACTCGCAGAGCTTCTCCCGACCCGGAGTCGCCACAGTATCTCTTCGGCCAGGTCCGTTAATATGCTCCACCCTGCGCCCGAACTCGGTACCGGCGGTAAACCGTGAACCAGGCCACCACCCTGGACCTCGTAGGGCTCTGAATGAAGACTGGAACAAGCGGCAAACCATCAACCAGGTTTTTTGCGGTTTCCGGTCCGACCACGGGGCCCTACAAGGGCGGTCAACCAGGTTTTTGCGTCTTTTGCGAAGGCCGGTTCGAGCTCCCCTGGGAGCAGGCCTAAACACAAGAACCTGAGCAGCGAAGCTGCAAAGATTAAAGCAGAGGTGCATCAACAGCGAAGCTGTACAGATATGCACAAGACTGCAAGTATACGCGAAAACAACTAGAAATGTAAAGAGGAATAGAAGCAGTGAGAGACCATACAGTAACCACTGGTTTATACAGCGATTACCGTCTCAACACCACTGAGAATGTACAAGAGATTAAAGGTCAGAATGCAGGTAAGAAAGTGAAACAAAGTGAAAATCAGCGAGTACAATCAAAGCAAGTGGCCTATGCACCTGCCCCGATAGGAGCTGCCCCAATCCTCTTATGAGACCAGTCAGCGCATCTAACTTTGCCGAACGTCTTCCCAGATCCTCGGCCCATCACGTCTTAGACGAGAAACGACCGACTCAAGAAAATCATTCATGAGCTCTTCATCGTGGAAAGCACCATCCCAGACCTCGCTGCACTGCAAAGCATGCCACACCGTGACCCGATTTTTGCAGCAACTCCTCCACCGTCCACCACATCCCCGCGGAAGTGACTCTATACAGGAAACGGAGTTTACACCGAGCTCCTCATCCCAGCCCGCTGCAACCAGACAGCCCTCAAAGTACGAGATATCCGCATGGGAGTAGCCACTGCCCAGAAGACGTTGAAGCATATTCAACTCTTGGAATGTGTGGGGGTCCGTGTATATAAGAGGTTTACTGTCTGGAGCACTGCTACAGAGCGCCTCGGGTTCCAAACCACATTGCCACTGTTGCCAGGCGGAGGCAATAGCCTGCCTGTCCGTAACAATCGGCCGTTCAAAGCAATATTTTCTGATCCGCAGGTTTGTTGGCACGAGCTCCACTGCTGTTTCAACATCAACCATTGCGTCAGGTGCTTGATTGTGCTGCAAGTCATCCTCATCCTCTTCCATCACCTCCTTCTCCTGCAAACCCATCTTAGCAACTTCCGTGGAAACTTCATGAACAGAATCCTCCTCCGCCACCCCCACCAGCTCCATCTCCGCAACTGCAGAACTCCCAACCACAGAATCTGACCGAATCCTGTGGTCAGCCTCCGTTGAACTCCCAACTGCAACAGCAGAATTCCCAGTCATAGAACTCCCTACTGCATCAGCTGAACTCCAAACCGCGGTACTCCCAACTGCAGAACTACCAGCTGTTGAACTCCCAACTGCATCAACAACTGCATCAGCGGGACTCCGAATTGTGGAACTTCCTACTGCACTCCGAACTGCGGAACTCCCGACTGCACTGGAACTCCCAACTGCAGAAGCATCACCCTGATCAGCGCGCACTCGATGACACTCCTCCTTCTCCTCCTCACCAACACAGAGAGCACAAAGATCAGTCTGAGTCCCACACGCAATGTGAACACAGGGATCTGTCTGAGTCCCACAATCGGAACACTGCGAACACAAAGAGTTGCCAGCCAATTCAACAGCATCCATATCAGTCTGTGTTCCACAAGTGTCCTCAACCCATTCCTCTTCCTCAGAATCGTCCGAGCAGAAATTCCAATAATATCTGGGCGCGCAAATGCCCGCGCGAACAAGGCACGACGGATCTGGCCCCCGAGCCGTGGACCACAAACGATACCTGACACGTTTTGCCCGCAGGCGGCGCAACTTCGATTGAGAAACTTTGACACCATGCCCATACAGCTGGTCTCGCTCACGCAGGCGAGACTCACCTCCGTACGAAGGGCGAACACGGCAATATAGATCACTAACACACACTTCGACCGTAGACAAACGAGCAGACAAGCAAGCGAGAAACTCGGAAGTAAACAACGACGTATCTGTCCAATCTGAAGCAACAAAATCCGCGCCTGACAATTCAGATGAAACAAACTCCAGATATAAAACGTGGACTCGCTCAACAAGAAGAAGGCAAATCACAAGCAATAACTAGACGGACAGTTGAGATAACCAAGGAAAATGCTGTTCCAACAATGCTCCGACAATCTCAACAATAATGTGCACTCCGACGACAATGGGCGTGGACAGGCCTTCGTCAATCAATGAAGTGTATCGTACTCCAACAATCAATGAGAGTGCACGGTACTCACGCAAAACAGACACTGAAGCACCGTGCACGGTAAAGAGAACCAAACTTCAGGCACGGCACAATGCCGCTCGAGGAGGCCTCCGACGGGCCAGGTCGCCGCTGAGAGCCCGAGGAGGGACAGCAGCAACCAGGTTACAGCCGGGACCCTCGTAGAGCTCTCAAAACGCGAAGTAGGGCTCAGAAAGCCCCCTCGAGCATCAGCTTCAAAACTCGCGGAATCCTTTTTTGGGTGTTATACTAAGTTGGTTCCCTGCGTCTTTTGATAGTATTACTGCAGCTACGGACCTGAGAATTTCGCAAGCAGACGCAGCATAACCCACTACAGGTTCAAAAGAAACTGGTTCTCAACCTGCCCAAGTCTAACTTTGGAAACAGCCTGCATGCACACAATTCTATGCACATGGTTTCCGGTCTTCTGGGGATATATCCTGATATAGCTCGAATCACAAGCTCCCGCCGATGCGGACTGCTGCTTCTCATCATGCTGAAATCATCAGTGCAAATCAGAGCTGTGTAAGTTGCTTCCTGCTTGAGTTTAGTTCACGTGAACGGGTACCTCTTCTTCTGCTCAATGCTAGTGGGCCTGGACGCCGGTAACCTGGTCTACACGGCAGTCTTCGCGACCATCATGTGGGCCATCGGGCTCGGAGTCACCAGCAGCGACAACGCCCAGGCCGTTGACTCCACCCTGATTCCACCAAGAAGGGAGCGGCCGAACACGCCGACCGCGCGGCACGGCAAGGAGGCCTGCATCCTAAGTACCGCCTGCAGGCGCCGCCCCAAATGTTGGCAACCAACAACCTGCAAATGCCAGAAACCACCCACGCCGGAGGTGTTTCAGGCCTGCTGCGACATGGGCTCAGGCGGGCGCCAGACCACAGACCTGCACCGCCTCCTGGACAGCACCGGCACGACCCTGGGAGCCATCCAGGCCAGAATCCTGCTCGCCCTGTCCTTACTCTTGCAACGCGAACC